CCACCGGAGTGGCCGCGGCGGTGCTCGGTGAAGGCGACGGCGGGGCTTTCGGATCCTGGCTGGACGGACGGCTGGAGGCGCTGGGAGTGGACCGAGCCGTGTACGGCACTTACATTCTTGGTGTCCTGCAGGAGGAGGAGGAGGAAGAGAAGCTGGACGCCCTGCAGAGTATCCTCTCCGCTTTCCTGGTGAGTGGAGTCGTCGGGACACATTCCATCAGCCCTGCGGAGACATCTGGGGGCCCCCGCCGCACTCCACGCCTCTCTTCCCCCGGGGCAGTCACGGAGGTTTAGTGGGTCAATCGGGGATGAGCTTACTCTGAGGGGCAAGTGGGATGCTGCTCCCCAGCCAGTTTTTGGGAAGCCACCAGGTTGCAGGTGCGTGGCGAGGTGGCGAGGGACGGGCTTCCCGCCCTCCTGGCGGCGGCGCTCCGTGGGTGCCTCGGGGAGTGCTAGGCAGTGCTCCGGAGCCATTGAGATGTGCGGATGGCAGTTTGCTCTTAAACGTCTAACAGTTCCATTTGCCATCCGTGTGCAGTGTTCAGAGAGGGGAAAAGAGGCTCTTGCGATGTCTCTGCCCATTAGGGGGTAGTCCTAGGGCTGTCCCAGGACTAAAGCCGGTAGGAAGTTCCCTCTTGGCTCCATTTCAGAGATGAGTCCTCCAAAGGTAAGCTGTTAGTGAAGATCCTTTCATGACCAGCAGGGTTTGGAAACTCAGTAATTATTGATGATGGGCTAGGGTGGGGCGGTGTGCTGAAGACAGACTGGAAAAGCAGATAAGGTTATTTAGACTCTGAGAAGCAGATTAAGGGGCTGGGCGTGGTGATGCACTCCTTTAATCCCAGGTAAGGAGGCAGAGGCAGGCGATCTTTTTCGGTCTACATAGTGAGTTCAAGACAGCCAGGGCACAGAGAAACACTGTCTCAAAAATCCAAAAACAGACTCATGCCATGTGTACCATGATTCATGTCTGTTATCCCAACACTCGGGGTGGGGGCGTGGGGCAGGCAGGGAACACAGCAAGTTTGGGTTTACAAAGTGAGACCCTAGAAAAACAAACCAGGCAGATTCACTAATTCAGAAATTTGTACTTTAAAGCTCTATTTATGTATCAGGTGACCAAGATGCCCTTTTCCAATCTGATTATTTGTATGGATTCATCCCAACAGAGACGGTTAATTAGATTGGATGCATAGATTAGATTTGCTACCTGTGTTGTCTGTGACTGTCCTTCAGTCTTTCCTTTTAACATAGCCAACTCAGGGGCTGGGGAGATGGCTCAGTGATTAAGAGCACTTGATAATCTTACAAAGGACCTGAGTCCCATTCACAACACCTACACGGTGAACACAATCGTCTGCAATTCTAGTTTCAGGGGATCAGACACCCTCTTCTGACCTCCGTGGGTCACAGACATACATGCAGACAAAACACCCATAAATAAAAATCTAAGAAATAAGTAAATATGACCAGACGGTGGTGGAGCACGACTTTAATCCCAGCACTTGGGAGGCAGAGGCAGGTGGATCTCTGTGAGTTCGAGACCAGCCTGGTCTACAAGAGCTAGTTCCAGGACAGGCTCCAAAGCCACAGAGAAACCCTGTCTCGAAAAACAAAAACAAACAAAAAAAGAAATAAATATGATCAGCTCAAAAGTAACATTTGCCGTGCCTTCACTAAGTACCATAGAAATTGTTCTCCTCACACAAGGTTTAGGGGAGCTCTTGGAAACCAAACTGCTACTATGAGAGTCTCGGGCTCATCAAAGGCTTTGTCTCAATGAGCAGGTTTGGAGAATGGCTTTATCCGTTGTCCTTAAGGTGGATATTCAAGGACTACTAAGAGTCAAAAGCTATGGTGGACATAAATATAAATATGCTGCACATCCTTTATATAGACAGACAGAAGGCAGAGTTTTTGTTTTCAAACCTAAAAGTAATTTTTGGATGTGGGGCACATGCTAGAGACACACCCTAAAGTTCAGTTCATTGATGAGAACATGCTGGAAATATAACATTGCAGCTGTCCCTGCTCCCACTGGCAAGAAATCTTGGTCTATTAATGGAAAAGAGCTAACAGGGCTTAGTAAGGCAGCTTGGAGTTTCAGTGAGAATACAGCATGGTAAGTTCTTCCCTTCGACCCTGAATTGCAGATTATAAGAAGAAAGAATAAAAGGCAAGGACTTTGGGGTATTCTTTGCAGCTGTGAGGTTTCTAAGGACTCTAGGAAGAAGCTGAGTTTGGTACTTAGTATTTTTCCATGGAGACGGTAATGGAGTCTATGTCTGTTGCTAAGGAGAAGTAAGTGCTTGTTCTAAACTCTTGGTAGAAGACACAACATTATCAAGACACCTATTTGGTTCTTAGTTGCCTCTTATATAAACTGCAGAGACAAGATCATTTCAAGGATGATTTCCCCCTCTGCCCAATTCACACCCCATGTTTAGTTTTCTGAAAGCCCATCTATGTGCAAACTGTCTCTGGGAAGAACTGCCAGGAATCGTAGTGAGACAGGGGTCCTGGTCATGAAGCAGCTGAGAGCATCTCTACAGACAATGTGTTCTCTGTAGAGAATTTTTTTCTTTTTTTGTTTTTCGAGACAGAGTTTCTCTGTGTAACAGCTCTGCTGTCCTAGAACTTGCTTTGTTGGCCTTGAACTCACAGAGATCCACCTGTCTGCCTTCCAAGCGCTGGGATTAAAGGCATGAGCCACCACTGCCCGGCACAGAGAATATTTTAAACTGTCTGCATATAATGCCAGAGGCCCTTGACTTTTGCACAAGTCTCATTCTTGGAGAACAAAACGGAGTCACTGTTAGGGATTAGGAAGTTTGTTAGTGAGAATTTGAGGTGAGATTCAGGGTAGTGTACAATCAGGAGTAAATAGAAGCTTTCCCCATTCTTCCTTTGATTTCTCCCAAGTGCTTGCATTGGCTGATTGACTGGTGAATCACGTATTTTTTTAATCCTTGGAATTACTTTCTCTCCGACGATTCGTAAAGTACTTGGAGGAACAAAATAGAAACGGCTGTTGTTGTGGAGTGCTATTCTAGACAGGGGAGCCTTTACCACTAAGTTATAGTCCTCTGTTAGTGCTATAGGTAGTGACTAAGATTAATGGGAATCATCGCACAGCATAAACACAGTCGCAGGCCTGGGGAGATGACTCAGATCTAGATTTGAAAGGGGGCGTTGAAAATGGTCAGGTGTGTAGGGATGGATTGCAGTTTCAAGTAGGATGATCATGTTTATGGTAGCTGAACTTTTTAGTTTCATGAAGGCAAGTGTGTTAGTAATCCCAGCACTTGGGGGGCAAGGGGAGGAAGATTGCTGAAAGATCAAGGCCAGCCTGGGCTACAGAGTGTGGCCCTGTCTAAACAACAACGAAACATGGTGGGTGTGATATTTGCCTTTGATCCCGGCACTAGGATGCTGGAGGTAAGAGAATCAAGAGTTCACGGCTAACCTCAGCTACTTAACAAGTTGGAAGCTAGCCTGGGCTACACAAACTTTAAAAAATATACAAAACCAATGAAGCAAACCAAGGGGAGAGTTTTGATGTAGTCAAAAGTTTTCCTCTAAAAAGAAAGGAAGTAATGAAGGAAGAAAGAAAGATTAGGCAAAGGAAAAGGAGAGACACTTTCACAATCTGTAGCATGGAATGGAAGCTACATGAAAAGCAATTCATTACATGAAAAGCAATGTAATATAATATATTGTGTGTTTCAAAGACTAGATTTTAAGTGTTTCCCTACAAGAAACTGGTAAGTAGTGAGTTAAATTATTAGACTGATTTAACCTCTCCTCCATATGTGCGTAGCAGGGGTGACATGGGTTAGCAGGCAAAGGTGCTTTCCACCAAGCTTACTTGGTTCCTGAGACCCACGTGATAGAAGGAGGAACCAACTCCCACAATTGTCCTCTGACTCCACAGCAGTCCCAGCATATACACACTGTATGCACATACCACACAGGCTGTAGCTGCAGACACACACTAACAACAAAAAACTAAGCACAATATATTGTATGCTAAGAGTAGATGATACATAGAATTATCAATTTAAAAAAATGAAACATTTCCTTCTTTAAAAATGAAGAATGAGCCAGGTGGTGGTGGCGCACGCCTTTAATCCCAGCACTCGGGAGGCAGAGGCAGGCGGATCTCTGTGAGTTCGAGACCAGCCTGGTTTATTTTAGGTATTTCCAGGACAGCCTTCAAAGCCACAGAGAAACCCTGTCTCGAAAAACCAAAAAAAAAAAACAACAAACAAACAAACAAAAAAATGAAGAATGAGGGGCCGGAGAGATGGCTCAGTGATTAAGAGCATTGTCTGCTCTTCCAGAGGTCCTGGGTTCAAATCCCCACAACCACAACTGTGTATAGTGAGATCTGGTGCTCTGTCTGGCCTGCAGGCATGCATGTGTGTGTATATATATGAATCTTAAAAACAAAAATGAAGAGTGAGGAGGCTACCCTAAGTTAGCATCAGGGTGAGTTCTGGGACCCTCAAGACTACTTCGATAAGAAGCACACTCTTCTGGGGCCTGAGCCCTCCCAGGGTCCCTTCTCGTTTCCATCGGGGAGAGCAGTGTTCTGCATGCGCCTTCCTTGGCTTGCTGCTGGTTTTGAAGGCTTTTCAGGAAACTAACTGATATGCTTCTCCAACTAGGAAGAAGATTCCCTCCTTGATAACTGTAAGGAAATTGTGGACCGATGGTCAGAAACACAAAATGTCACCATCAAAGTAGAAAAAGAAGGTAGAGTTGGCCTTTCTTTTTAAAAAGCACCCGTTCTTCTATGTAAGCTGTGTGGGGTGTGTGTGTGGCGCACATGCAAGGCATATATAGTGTGCATGTGATGTGCCTGTGTGCGTGTCCCCTGAGCTGTATGAGGGTCAGGACAACTTTCAGGATTCGGATCTATTTGTCTTTCCACCTTGTGGGTCATAGCGAACAAATTCAGGCTATGAGGATGGCCAAGAGTTCCTCTACTCACCAAGCCATCTCACTGGCCTCAGTGACTGTTTCGGGTCCAACCCCAGGGCCTTTTCCTGTGTAGCTGTTAAGAATCGAGAGTTTGATTTTCTTCCTTGGGTACTCACTCTTGGGAAGGTAGGTAATTTGCATCAGGAAACACCCAGGGGCTCTCTTTAAGGTTTTACCAATCATGGATTTCCTTTTGTGTCTTTCCAATCCACCCTGACCACACTCATCTTTACTGTAGTGTGGATGTGTATTTCTTTTTCTTTTTCTTTTTTTTTTTTGGGGGGGGGTTTCGAGACAGGGTTTCTCTGTGGCTTTGGAGGCTGGCCTGGAACTAGCTCTTGTAGACCAGGCTGATCTCAAACTCACAGAGATCTGCCTGCTCTGCACGCCCTGGATGTGTATTTCTTTCATTGTCTTTTAGAAACAAAATCTCATTGTATATAGCCCAGACTGGTTTTTGTTTGTTTGTTTGCTGTTTTTGTTTTTCAAGACTGGGTTTCTCTGTGTAGCTTTGGAGCCTGTCCTGGAACTAGCTCTTGAAGACCAGGCTGGTCTCAAACTCAGAGAGATCCACCTGCCTTTGCCTCCTGAGTGCTGGGTTTAAAGGCATGCAATACCACCACCCTGCCTTTAAAAAAAAACAACAAAAAAAAAACAAAACAAAAAAAAACAGGGTTTATTTTTGTATATAGCCCTGGCTATCCTGGAACTCACTTTGTAGACCAGACTGGCCTTAAACTCAGAAATCCGCCTGCCTCTGCCTCCTGAACACTGAGATTAAAGGCGTGTGCCACCACTGCCCGTCGTGCCTGGAACTCTTTATGTAGGCCCAGCTTGCCTTGAATTTCTAGCCCTTTTGCCTCAGCCTCCTAAGAGCTACAGGTGTAAATCACAGTACCTGCATCATTTTGCGTTTTACTTTTCCTCCTGTCCTATGCCCCCTAGCAGATTTGCCTCACACATAGAGGGTCATCCGTAGTCTTCTGAACTCAAGCTGGCAACCGTCTTAAAGGCAGGCGCCTTCTTCCCCCATGCTACTGGCTCATCCACCCTTCTCATAGTCTTGTTACACAGCATGATTTATGGTTGAGGCTCTGCTTCGTTTGGCTGAATCCTTCACCCTTGAAAATGAAAGAAGAGTGGGCTTATATGTACATTAGGATGGTAAATTAGCTACACAGAAGCCAAACTTGTAAAGAATGTAAACTAAGTTATATACTGTGAGTTCAAGCCCAGCTTAGTCTACAGAGTGAGTTCCAGGACAGCCAGGGCTACACTGAGAAACCCTGTGTGTGTGTATGGGGGTGTGTGTGTGTATGTGATATACACTGTTACTCCTCAGTCTTGAGTATACTCACACTAGAATCACAAGGTATACTTGGTTTGGGGCCCAGGTATTTGTGTTTTGTTTTGTTTTGTCTTTCATTGGTTTTGCTATAACAAAAGGTATGGAATTAAGGGCTGGGGAGATGGGCTCAGTGGTTAAGAGCACTGACTGCTCTTCCAGAGGACTCTGGTTCAATTCCCAGCATCCACACAACAGCTCACAACTGTCTGAATCCAGTTCCAGAGGATCTGGGACCCTCATACAGACATATATGCAGGCAAAACACCAGGGCACATGAAATAAGTAATTTTTTAAAAAGGCATGGAATTAAATGCTGGGTTCATGCTGGGCGTTGGTGGCACACACCTTTAATCCCAGCACTCGGGAGCCAGGGGCAGGCGGATCTCTGTGAGTTCGAGGCTAGCCTGGTCTCCAGAGCGAGTGCCAGGATAGGCTCCAAAGCTACACAGAGAAACCCTGTCTCGAAAAACAAAACAAAACAAAAAAGCTGGGTTCCGTTTTTTATTTTAATGTGTATTTGTCTATGTGTGGGTGTGTGCATGTGCCCACAGAGGCATGAGATCTCCTCAAGCTGCAGTTATAAGTGACTGTGAGGCACCCTCTGTGGATGCTGGGAACTAAACCCAGGTCCTTAGCCCCAGGTTTTTTGTTTGTTTGTTTGTTTGTTTGTTTGTTTTTAAGTTTCTCTAGGGCAGGTGAGATGGCTCAACAAGTAAAGGTGCCTAGTGTGCCAAGTTCCTGTTGCACAAGCCTAGAACCCCGTGAAGGAGAGAACTAACTCTCCACAGTTGTCCTCTGGACTTCAGTGTGTGATCACACACTAAAGCCTGTATAGCTTTGCTTTGTCTCCTGGGTGATTCCTGAGTCCTGGGGGACCAGCACGGATTGGGTGGGTCATTGATTTGGGGGCATGTCTTCACTCACACGATCTCCTTGTGTCTCTCCATCCGCTCACAGATGAGGTCCAGGCCATTACCACCTTGATTGAGAAGCAGGCACAGATTGTGGTGAAGCCCAGGATGGTTTCAGAAGAGGAGAGACAGAGGAAAGCAGCCCTGCTGGCCCAGTATGCCGATGTGACAGACGAAGAGGAATATCCTTTTTGGAGGCTTTGCACCATTTCCCGAGGCTCATGCTAGGAAGGCTGGGCAGTCTGCATCACCCTGAAGACTAGTTTCCCTTTTCACAATGTCAGTGATCCTGGGCCTTTGTGGGTTTAAGAAACGTTGTTGTGCTGGGCAATGGTGGCATCGCCTTTAGTCCCAGCACTCTGGAGACAGAGGCAGGCTGATCCCTGTGAGTTCAAGGCTGGCCAGGTCTACAGAGTGAGTTCAGGACAGCCAAGGCTATACAAAGAAATCCTGTGTCTAAAACCAAAATAACAACACAAAAATGATGTTAAAATAGTTGACATGGGACTTTTATCTTCAACACATAACTGCTATCCTCCAGAAAAGTTCAGTGTAAAACAAATAATGCCTTTACCAGACTGTTGATTTTATTTCTAGAATAAGAAAGAGCGGTGATTCCTCACACTGTGTGACTTACTGCTATTACCAAATACAAAGAAGAAACAAGGCAATGGTTATTTTGGCTTACAGTTTGAACTGATACCCTGCATCGTGGCAGGGAGGGCGTGGTGGTGGGAGCAGGCGACAGCTGGTCACAGTAAGGAGGCAGAGAGAAACCAGTGCTGCTGTCAGCCAGCCCAGGACTGCAGCCCTAGGCAAGGTTGCCTCCCACATTCAGGCTTAATCCATCTAGAAACTCCATCCCAGACATCCCAGGAGTATGTGCCCATGGTGACTCCCTCCCATCAAGCTGATAGTCAAGATGAACCATCACGAATACTTTTATACACAGTGTAGTAACACACTTACTTTCTTCCAAAATTAACTTTTTTTTTGTTTTTGGAGACAGGTTCTCATTGTGTAGATTAGGCTGGCCTCAAACTCACAGAGAGATCCACCTAACTCTGTCTTCTGTCAATTAGCTTCCAAAAAGGGCTTTTAAAGCATGAACTATCCTGAGGTTAAAACACAGATTTCTGGGCTTTTCCTGAGTTTCTACTATAAAGTAGGCTCAAGATAAGAATCCATGGATGTGGAAGCTCTGAGAATTACAGTGTGTGTGTGAGTGCATGTATGTGTACCTGTATGCATTTGTGTGTGTGTGTGTGTGTGTGTGTGTGTGTGTATGTATGTATGTATGTATGTATGTATGTATGTATGTTCTCATTCTGCCCAGGTGCCACTGAACTTTCTTTGAGAATGCCTGGCCTTGAACTCCCTATCTTCCTGCCTCCATGTCCCTAGTGTTGGAGCTGTGCTGTTTCAGAGTCTGTCTTGCCCCTGCTTTTAGGTTAATATTAATATGGGGTCTTCCCACTTTCTTTTTAGCTTCTAGGAGTGAATCTTATACAAGCTTGAGACATCTCCCCCAAGCTAAGATTTTCAGAATTGTGTCTCCCGGGTTTGCCCTTACTCCTGTGACCCTGTCTTCACTGAATGCAGCCTGCTTCTCTTACCCATGTCTGTTGACTGTCTTTAAATTCTATTTGAGATTACACAGGCCCACCTGCTTTTCCTTAACGTCACTCACCGAGGCAGATGAGAAAGATGATCCGGGTGCCTCCACAACAAACATCAGTTCTGATAAATGTATCCTTCTCTTTGTCCATGCCTTGTATTTCTCCAAGGATGTCACATCATGCCAGTATTGGGAGCTCTATGCCTAGCACAGCCCTGGGTAGTCCATTTAGCGACCACTCTACCCAAAAAAAACAAATTAACACACACAATGGGTGCCAGCCTCCAACTTGCTGGATGACTTTGAATTCCTAGTCTTTGCCTCCACCTCCAAGTGCTGAAATTAAAAACCTGTGCCACACCTAAAAAAGGGGATGGGGGTTTTGTTCTGTCTGTTTGTTTGGGAAACAAGGTCCTACTCTACTCTTGGCTAGCCTGAAACTATCTGAACCAGGCTTGCCTGGAACTCACGGAGATCTGCATGTCTCTGTCTCTTTGAGTGCTATGCTTAAAGAAATGCATAGCCACACTTGGCTTCTGGCCTTTTGATTTTGTTTTTTGAAAGAGTCTCTCTGTGTGGTCCTGGGTGGTCTGAAACTCTCAGAGATCACCTGCCTCTGCCTCCCCCAGTGCTGGAATTAAAGTCATTGGTCACCACACTGGACCTCACCTGGCTTGGTTTTTTTTTTTTTTTTTTTTTTGAGACAAGAGTCTCTTTTAGCCCAGGCTAAACTCAAACTGGCTATATCAGAGGCTGTCCTTGAATTTCTTTACCTCTTGTAAGGCATGAACTACCATACCCAGCTAGAAGGATTCTTTTTTTTCTTATTTATTTATTTATTTATTTATTTATTTATTTATTTTTCTGAAACAGAGTTTCTCTGAGTAGCCTTGGCTGTCCCGAACTAGCTCTCTGTAGATCCGCCTGCCTCTGCCTCCTGAGTGCTGGGATTAAAGATGTGCGTCCCCACTCGACTTTATTTTTAGGGTATAAACTTTATTTGTATTTTTTAGATGTCCTTGTAAATGAAATTCATTTTTATAAAATATTTCAAAGTTTAGGTTTAGTTGTCCAAATGAGATTTTTGGTTTTGGTTTTTGAAGACAAGGTTTCTCTGTGAAACAGCTTTGGCTGTCCTGGAACTCATTTTGTAGACCAAAGATCCACCTGCCTCTGCCTCCCGAGTACTAGGATTAAAGGCTTTCACTACCTCTGCACAACCCAAATGAGATTTAGGAGTTCCATCAAACTAAGGCTTCTTCTTTTTTTTTTTTTTTTTTTTTTTTTGTATGAGTGTTTTGCCAACACACACATACACATACACACACACACACACACACACACACACACACACACACACACACACACACACACGTGCTTAATGTCTGTTGTCCACAGAGCCCAAATCCAGCACTGGATCCCCTGGAACTAGAGATATGCATGGGTGTGAGTTACTGCCTGGGACTGAACCTCTGCTAGAGCAAGTGCCATCTCTAGCCAAACCAAAGCTTCTTTTTTTATACTATGAATACTTAGCGTGCATTTAGAACTCTGTGTAGAGAAGGGGCATCCAGACTGAGGGAACTGTAGGATTGTTGCCTATAGGATATGTACCTTAATTCCTTGACTCACTGGTAGCTCTGTTTCGAAACACCAACGTAGAAGATGTTCTCAATGCTCGAAAATTGGAGCGAGACTCTCTTCGGGATGAGTCCCAAAGGAAGAAGGAACAGGACAAGCTGCAGAGGGAGAAGGACAAACTAGCCAAGCAGGAGCGCAAGGAGAAGGAAAAGAAAAGGACACAGAGAGGGGAACGCAAGCGATAACCTCGGCCACTCTGTTCCTTCCACCCGTGAATTGATTGTGCGTCTATATATTTAAGAGAACTGAGACTAATGCATTTCCCAAAATTTCTTAAGGCTTTTCCCCCTCTGTTTACATGTTCAAAAGGAAAATCACAATCACTTGTTACTACAAAATGTGCCATGTTTGGTAGTGTGGGCAATCAATTCTAGTTATTATCTTTACCAAAGATCTGGAATTAGGGTAACCTTTCTATTTTAGTACTGAAATCCTATGCTCTTCTGGCTTTTTAAAAAAGGTCTTCCCTCACTTTGTATAATTAGCCAGATTCAGAAAGCTAACGTCCTGAAGGAAACATGATCATTCCTTTTGAGATTAAAAAAAAAAAGGAAAAAGTGCAAATTGCTTCTATGGCAATATTTGCCTCAAAATGTAGTGGGTTTTTGTTTTGAAACAGGGTCTCATTCTGTAGTCCAGGCTGGCCTTGAACTCGGTGCAGTGCCCTTGCCTGTTTTTCAGCCTTAGAATCCTAAGCTTATCAGAGCAGTGTTTTATGGCTGAAATAGCTAATGAAGAGCTACCTAGATCAGACTAGGAAAGTGGAAGATGGTATTTGGATGGTATTTGGGCTCAAGCTATAGCTGTGTTGGGTGCCTGCTTAGCACACAAGGCCCTGGGATTGATCCCCAGTACTGAAGAAAAACAACCTATGGGAGAATCAACTGTCTTTTAAAATGGAGCGCTACATACTTTTCATGTAGTCTAGGACTTAAGAAAGTATGTGTCAATTCGAGATATAAAGTTATTGTTAGCTAAATAACTCATGAGTTCCCTTAAATCCCCTCTTTAATCTGCAGGTATGTCCAACCTTTTGATATTGTGACATAACATTTTTTTAAAACTTGCAAAACAAATCATGTTTTTAAAGTAAGTTTATGATTTTGTGTTAGGCTGAATTTACAGCTATCCTCAGCCACATGTTGGACACACCTGCAACATGAGTATTAAGACCTAATAATTCCTGGTTTAGAGAAACCGAAGGAATTACTCTTTTAGAGAAAAACACCTGAAATTTTGCTAATACAAGATATATAGTTGGTGGTTAACAAACTTATGAAATGAGAGAGTAGACAAACTGGCAGAGTCAAGGGTGAGCAGAAACTCTCCAGTCCTATTTCTGTTACAGCTACATCCAGCTGTAAATAAATTCCTTCTTTACTTGACTTTGGGCAACAGCTATCAAAAGCCTCAAGAGAACAATTTCTCTAACAAGATACAGTAGATATTTTATACCAGGGGTTAGAAGACTACCACTCACAGGCCAAGTTTGGCCCAGTCTTTTTTTTGTACGGGGCGAACTAAAATGGTTTTTTTACATTTTTAATAGAAAGACATTCATGATTGAGACCATATGTGGCCTATAAAACTTAGTATTTACTAGTATTTGGAGAAAGTCTTCTGACTTGTTTTTGTATCATTAGCTACCTTTGTGCAGAAAAAAAAAAAAAAAACATGGTTAAGGAAAGGAGATGCTGCTGCCTCTTTATCCTACAACCATGGCACTGCAAAAATAACCACCCTTTTTTAAAATAAACTATTTAAGTCAGTGTTGTCTGCCTTGTTTTTTCCAGCTGCTGGTTGAAAGGTACATGAGAATGGTCCCTTGGGAATGATCTTTATCATCTGGTCAGCCCTGTAGGCATACACTGCAAGTTAAACTTCTCTCTTAAATTTGTTTCCAAGTTCCCTGTGAAGTAAAGATTAACTCAGAGGATTACCTTGTTTTTTGGAGCTTGTGTAAGTTGGCTTTGAAGTCCTTTGAGGTACTACTGGTCTTGAACCTTTATGTGGTGGTAGTAGAGAGCCATAGGATTTTGGGACTTTGTTCTCACCTTGATTTTGGCTTCTGAAGGAGTCAAGAGTATATCCTTCCTTTAAGGGTATTTCAATTTGCTGGTTTTTGAGACAAAATCTTGCCTAGCCTAGGCTTCCTCCTGCTTTATAACTTGTTTCCCTTGAATTCTTGACCTTGCTAACAGTCAGTGCTTCTGGGACTCTTTATGTTATAGTGTACATCCAACTAATTTTAAATACCAATCCAATCATTAGGCTTTGGTAAGGTTATTCACTTACTATTTTTTGTTTTGTTTTTGGAGACAGTTTCTTTGTTTAGCTTTGGCTGTCCTAGCTCTGTAGACCAGGCTGGCCTCTGCTTCCCAAGTGTGGGTGTGTGTGCCACCCAAACCCAGCTAAAAATTATCTTTTTATGTGTATGGGGGTTTTGCCTGCATGTGTGCATGCAGTGCCACTAGAAGCCAGAAGAGGGGGTGGGATTCCCTGGAACTGGAGGTACAGTTGGCTGTGAGCCACCTTGTGGGTACTGGGAATCAAACCTGGAACCAAACAGCCAGTGCTCTTAACTGCTGAGCCACCTCTCCAGTCCCCAATGAGATTTTAATTATAATTCCTCAACAACTTTTTTGTAACCACTTACTCAAATGGAAAGGATGCTGACTTAATTTTCAAATACCTTTATATAAATTTGTGTCGTGTCTTCCTTGATCTCTCCATCTAATTAAAAGAACATTTTATTCTATGTGTTTATGTGTACTTACTAATACATAGACATACACAAGTATTTATTTGGGTTTTTTTGGGGGGGGGCTCCATACAGGGTTTCTCTGTGGCTTTGGAGGCTATCATGGAGCTCATTCTGTAGACCAGGCTGGCCTCGAACTCACACAGTGTTGGGATTAAAGGCGTGCACTACCACTGCCTGGCCCAAGTAAATATTTTAAAGAAAAAATAAGAACATGGGCTAGGTCAATTGAGTGGGTAAAGGCATGTGCTACCAATCCTGCTGAATTCAATCTCCAGGACCCCACATGGTGTTAGGAGAGACTGACTACACAAGTTGTCCTCTGACCCCCACACCCACTGTGGCATATGTGTGTGTGCATGTACACAAATTTAAAAGGAAAACAGGTATTTCTTTGAATTAGAGAACATCTTTACCAGTTTCACTGAAGATTTTTTGTGTTTTTTTTTTTTTTTTTGGTTTTTCCGAGACAAGGTTTCTCTGTTGCTTTGGAGCCTATCCTGGCACTCGCTCTGGAGACCAGGCTGGCCTTGAACTCACAGAGATCCACCTGCCTCTGGCTCCTGAGTGGTACCACTGAGTGGTACCATGAAGGCATGTACCACCAATGCCCAGCGATAATTTTAAATATTTTTGTAAGCTGCAATTGAGAAGTATGTAAGAACCATCTAGCAGGCTGTAGTGGTCCATGCCTGTAATACCAGCACTGGGGAGGCAGGAACAGCAGATCACTGCAAGCCTGTTCCAGGAAAGCCAGGAAACCAAAGGGAAAGAACCATCTTTATCAGTGGTTTCAACCTTCCTAATGCTCAACCCTTTAATGCAGTTCCTCATGTTGTGTTGACCCCCAAAGATCTGGTCTTTGTTTAGTTGAGGCTGGTCTTTAACTTCTGGTTCTCCTGCCTTGACCTTCCAACTCTCCCAAGTGCTAAATTTAGCCTCAAAAATTTTGTCACTGATAGTTTTGACTTTCTGATCCTCCTGCCCTCTCTCCACTAATGCTGGATTATGGGCATGCACCACACATGGTTTTATACAGTGCCCAGGAACAACCCAGGGTCTCCTGCACACTCTGTAAGCATTCTCCCAACTGAACTTCATCCCAGCCCAGGGTTTGGTTTTCCTTAACAGACTTTTTATTTGCGACCGCTGTCCTGTAAAGGTCTTCCTTGAGTTTTTATTCAACAAGGCAAAGTAAGTTTCATCTTTGAAAGAGGTCAGGTGGAATCTAATTTGAATCACAATCATCTACCATTATTCTTATGTATTAATAATGAAATTTACACCAAAAAGGCTCTTGTCAGCTAAATGAAATTCATTTGATTTTCAGACATAAATAACACAATGTTAGAAATTAACACAAATGTAAAAAATGAAACCAAATATTTTCAACAAAGTAATTTATTTTTTTTTCCTGAGAGACTAAATTCAGTACAATATTTGTTTTCATAACATTCAACATGTTTTATGTCAAACTTAACCACTTTCTATGCAGTGACTGTGGTGGAGTGGTCTATTTTATTTGACTACCCTCAATGTAATTCATTTGGTAGTTCTAAGCATATCAGTGATCAAAATGTTTCTCCCTACAGTTACTCCTGCATTCGCAATCAGTTTCTTCCGCACATCATCTAAAGAAAATTTATGTGGTGTGATTACACTCTTTTTTTTTTTAATACCAGGATTTCTAAAGCTAAGAAAAAACACTAACATCAAAACATCAGTGTTTCTAGTCAAGGATATTTCAATTAAATTTCATCAGTACATTATATTATAGTTTAACTCATGCTAGAAACTTTAAAACCCAAGATCTTCTGAGTCACATAATACCAACATTTCATATTAATGAATAAATTATTCAGGTTCTAATACAAAGATATTAAGTGATGAGAAACAGAAAAAGCCAAGCTTTCAAGTGTTCTTTTTTAAAAAATACAGAAGCAAACAAATGAACATAACTACACAAAATATACACTAACTAATTGGCAAAACTAAACTAAAGATTAACCTAAAAAATACATTTTAGAACTTCGTGATACCCTCATCAAAAGACAGCAAACTAAGGGTATTAAAACAAGAGTCATTATTTTAGTTACTAGGCATCGAGTCTAAAAGATCCAGATAAAGGAATGTTTTATTTTGATTCAATTAAATACTTTGAAATTGGAAATATTTAATAATTGATAGTATAATTAAAATTTAAAGAATATACACTAATGATTTGAACAGGTTTTATATTCAGTAACTTGCATGGTTTTCACACTGGCACGTTCATCACTAATTTAGGAGAATCAGATGCATTTCCCTCCATATACTTAGGCACTAAGATTTCAAATTCATAAATATGGTAGTATTTTAAATATTAAATTTTTACATGAATATTGGGTTTATCCTTGTTTTCCTTTGTTTTCTAGGTATTATCCAGTTTTATAAGGAAAATACTTTTAAATCACAATCAAAACTTGTCTTGGTTACTAAACTGTAGCCATAATTGGGTTACAGTCACTGAGACTCATTATTTGGAATTATACTTACTAAGGCAGAACTAAATGAAACTTATCTCCTAGAAGAATTTCACATTTGCATTTACCTGCACTGAAGAATGGATTTAAGCAATTTTTAGCTGTAAGGGGATATTTAATTAAATAAACTTGCTATCTTTGACTACTCAGAACTCCTAGAGTAATCAATTTTACCTTTGAGTTCACTTTAAACTGTATCTGATTCATTCCAAGCAGATTTTTAAATAGAAGTTAGACTTCATTGAAGTATTAACTTAAAATCTGAAAGAAAATTAATGTACTGAAAGTTTGACAAGTTCATTAAAAATTTTAGCACATCTTGATACATTTACTTCTCAGCTTTTTAACTCTTCCTTCTGCTGGCATCTCCTTAATGTTTATTTGTTTCACCTCTCTGGTTCATTGGATTGCTACTATTTATGCTTTCATGGACTTTATCTTCACAGTTTACTAGCTCTTGGAAAGCCTTTTCCATATCAGCTTGGCCCGATGTACTTGCTGTTTTTGGCAAGGTCATCTGCAGTGCACACCACAGGGTAGTGCGTGCTTTCCGAGTAGCTACACACATCTCTTTAATTGCTGTAGCAAGAGCAAAAACATCTGCAAAACAAACAGGGTTATTGCTTATTATTCACTTAAATACCCCTTACATCTTTTTTTTTTAAGATTTTATATTTTAATATGTATACAATATTCTGCTTCCATGTATATCTGCACACCAGAAGAGGGCACCAGATCTCATAATGGATGGCTGTGAGCCACCATGTGGTTGCTGGGAATTGAACTCAGGACCTCTGGAAGAGCAGCCAGTGCTCTTAACCGTTGAGCCATCTCTCCAGCCCCCTACCCCTTACATCTTAAGCAGCTCAGTGCTGTTACTACTAAATGATCAAACATTTTTTTTTTTTACAAAAATGATAGCTAAGCTAATGAAGTACTCTGTTTTTTAAAATAAAGCATAGCAATAACTATGCTTTGATAAAAGAGACTGTATCTTAAGACAGGTAATATAATTAAGTGCATAAAATTAACAAAAGAGAACAAAATACTCGGAATAAATAATGTGGTGATCATTTGCTAATTTGTTTTTAAAATATGTATTAATTTTAGAAATCTAGCCTTTTGGGCTGAAGAGATGGCTCAGCAGTTAAGAGCAGTGGCTACTCTTCCAGAGGTCCTGAATTCAATTCCCAGCAACTATATAGTGGTTCACAACTATATGTAATAGGATATGATGCCCTCTTCTGACATGCAGGTATACATGCTGATATAAGATACATACATATCTTATATCATACATAAGATATAAATAAATAAAATTCAAAACAAACAAACGCAACCCAAAGCATTTATACCTCTGTCATCTTGGCACCTAGGCACTCCTTGTCTTTGCCGATTTGAAGCATTAACAATTTCATCCTTTCTACGTGACTGTACAATGTGAATCGACTCCAAGTGTCTATCAAGAGCAGTAGAGATATTAGCA